CGGTAAGTTGGCCCGTTACACAAAGGAAAGAGAAAAAAAATTGACACTCCCTATTCTACCCTTCATACAAACGCTCCTGGAGTAAGGAATTTGAAATGGGAACGCTCTTTTTGTAGGGAATTTGAAATGGGGGAAGAGTTTTTTCCTCCCTACTATTATATGTTTTTAATTTAAAAGATACAACAAATGTACTTAGTGTGATTGGTTGTGATTCTCGTTTTTATTTAAAATGATCATGGTTCAAATCCCAGTACTTGTCTTTTTAATGAATAAAAAAAAGTAATTGTGAAGACCAAAATGTTCTTCCTACTTTCACTCTCGTGGCTTAAAGAAAAAAAATTGACACTCCTGGACCCGTTCAAATCCGCATGTGTACGGTAAGTTGGCCTCTTTCCACAAAGGAAAGAGAAAAAAAACTGACACTCCCTATTCTACCCTTCCTACAAACGCTCCTGGAGCAGGAAATTTGAAATGGGAACGCTCTTGTTGTAGGGAATTTGAAATGGAGGAAGAGTTATTTCCTCCCTGCTATTATATGTTTTTAATTTAAAAATATACAACAAATGTACTTAGTCTGATTGGTTGTGATTCTCGTTTTTCTTTAAAATGATCATTGTTCGAATCTCAGTACTTGTCTTTTTAATGAATAAAAAAAGTAATTGTGAAGACCAAAATGTCCTTCCTACTTTCACTCTCGTTGCAGGAAATTTGAAATGGGGCTCCCGTTTTTCCCTTCGGCGTATTATATTATGTGTAGATAGTAGATTTATCTACTTCATATAAAGAAGTATCAATATCAAGATTTGAACCATGGTCTCTCAAACAAAAACAATGATCACAACCAATTACACTAAACAAATTTATTTTATCTACTTGAATTGTAAACATACACTAAGTGAATATTTGAAAAGCAGATTTCAGGCAAACTTTACCTGTCATTACATATTCAGGAAGGGAACAGACAGTTGATGGATCAATCACAAGATCACCATTGTGGAATTCTTTTCAGGTGCTGAGACTTTCAAAGAATATGAGACTAAATGATTCACAAGAAAACAATGTGATGGTAGGCTGTGGCCTTAAATTTGGAGAATGGGTTCTCGCTCTTGGAGATGGAAAGTTGGATACAGACTCCTTTAGTTCGAACACTCCTTCAGACTGGATTGAAATACCATAAATGTTTCTAGTGATTCCAGGAAAAAATCCACTTCAATCAATAACAGAAGAAATATATGAATCATTTGCAGATTGCTATAAAGACACAAAGTACCTCGAAGGTAGAGCAATTGTGACTCCAACAAATGTTGTTGTTACTGAAATCAATGATTACATGTTGCAGCAGCTGCCAGGAGAAGGCCATTGCTACTACATTTCCGATTCCATGCACCTAGATAAAGAGGTCCCTGAATCATTTAGTGAAACTTATCCCACTGAGTTTCTGAACACTTTATCATTCAATGGTGTGCCAGATCACGAGATAAGACTGAAAGTTAACACTCCAGTAATGTTGCTCATAAATCTAAGCCCCCCAAGTGGTTTATGCAATGGAACACGATTGATGATAACGTCGCTAGGTCAGAATAGCATCATAGGAAATATCATGGGAGGATCCTTTGATGGAAAACCTGTAGCAATATCACGAATTGTGCTCAACATTGAGGACAAAAAATGGTCGTTCATCCTCAAGAGACGTCAATTTCCTGTTCGATTATGTTATGGAATGACGATAAACAAAAGCCAGGGACAAACCCTAGATAAAGTTGAAATTTATCTACCAAATCCAATATTCAGTCATGGCCAATTGTATGTGGCCGTATCCAGAGTCAGATCTGCAGCTGGGCTGAGGTTTCTGATAACAAATGAAGAGGGTGTTCCAGGAAATCACACAAGAAACATTGTGTTCTCAAAAGCATTCACAGATATCACAGGAAATTAAGTTCCCGATCCAAGATTATGAAGGTAAGCGTTAAAGTTTATTCCGATACATTTCATGTTCTGATAAAAGAGAATTTATGAATTTGGCCTCTGGGATAGTCATTAATCACGTTTTACAATAATGCATGAGTCATCTGGAACACAAAATGATCTTTTTGGACACATGGAGAAACTACTTTCCCCCTTGTCTTCTTCCCCCTTGCTCCTGCTTTTTGGACACATGGAGAAACTAGCAGGAGATATTGTTTGCGTTTTGAATTCTGGGCAAGTTCTTCATGTTCTTCCAAAATGACACAATAGAATATTTTATGATGCTCCTTTGATCGAACTTTGAATAAAACATACAAATAAATTGTTTTCACCAAACGACAGACTCCTTAATGTTTTGCAAACCAACAATTTTGGGCCACAAATGAAAATAAACCTCCCCTGCCAAATTTCAATATCGGCCCACATAAATGGTTTGGCCCAATTTCACAACATTGACTAACGTCGTGGACCCTGCACTACCCTACAAAAAGAGATTCTATTTCCAAAAGTAGACTCTTATCCGCCGCTGAAGTTTACTCCACGAACCAACAGACAAACCCTAAACAAAGGTAAATCGCCTTCTCCTTCTAACTCCACTCACAGAATTTACAATTCAAAAAGACTGCTCATAAACAAAGGTCCCTACCACCATGGAAGCTTCGGACAAAAAACGCACGACCACGGTAGAAGATTGCATGGTCCCCAACAACGCCCGAGGTAAACACATTCCATCTCAATCAGTGTTCCTTTAAACGTCTAGATACATCTACAGAATATGCCGTTTATGTTTGTCTATTTCTGGTGGTCTTTGACACAATTTCAGAAACCCTCCAATCATCCGCTACTTTTCGAGGGATATGTTTGGGAATCAACCACCGGAGTGTCATCGCTCGTCTTATAAACACATGGTTTGAGTTTCGAGAGGCATACATATGGAAGAAAAGGACACTGCACATGCTTTGGCTGGATCGAAAGGTGAGTACAACCTTTTTAACTTATAGACAGATGAAAGATGACAAAAGCGCTTTATTTCATTATTTACCTGTTTACATTATTAAAGAATAACTCACCATGCGTTATGTTTTACTCCAGATCTAGGCCATTATTTTAAATAGTTAGTTACCATGACACAAGTTTGGGAACTATATGAGCTATAAATATTTAATCTTGCATAAACAAATGATAGAATGTTATGTGGAAGAGGAAGATATCGAAGAAATATATGGGAAACTTCAATTAGGCCACCTATATAAACTTGATGACCTGGTAGCTGTCCCAGCAAAAACAAAGGGCAGAGTAGTTCCAAGAGAGTTACAAATGATGATGAAGGCTAATCAGCTTATCTCTCATGTTGAAGAAGACGAGGACAGTCCAGAGGATCCAGTAGACTTATACCCTGCAGCCTTCTTTTCAATGGTGCCAATGCAGAAAAACAACTATGACTGCCATGGAGGTAGCCACTCGATACTTTACTTTTACACTTAGATCAAAGATGTAAATGCATTGACAATTAGAAAATTACAGACATTACTGGTTGTATCCGACGAGTAACAGTTCGAGAAACTGTTGAGGGCACCCTTAAGGAATTCATCGTGATCATGAAAGATGTGAGGTAACTTCAGCAAGTATATTACAATTACATTCAATACAAATATATGCAAGTTTACTTATATATTCCTCAAATCAGTGGTGCAAAGGCTATTGTTAATTACCGCGGTTGGGACATCATCGACTACCTAAAGAGAGCACCGACAGTTGAGTCACACCTTCCTCTAATCACCACAATAACTAATGTAGTGAGGTTACCTCCTCCAGACAACAAGAAGTATCAATATCGGTTTGTGTCAACAGCAGCCAGTCACCTCATCATAAGATCATACAAAGATGCCTCCAAGGAAATCATGAACATGTACAGATATTTGATTGAAATTTTAAGTGTTATCTTTCAAAAGGTAAAAAACCATTGCTTACAAAATGGTTTATACACCATTGCAGATTCCTTCCAAGACGCAAACTAGTGAATTACTTCAATCCAATCACGAAGGAAAAGATCGGCTACCTGCGTTCTGAACGACCTCCAAAGAAGACTCTGAGTGAGATCAAAGCAGAACTTGGTGGTCAACCAACTTCTCAAAAGGTACGTTGCCACCCTTAAGCAGCTCCATAGATTAGATAAAATAAAAACTAGGTTCTCTAATCACTCCTACTTGACAAAAAAATATTACAGATCCTTTATCGTTGCAAATTTACTATCCCTCAAGTTTGGTACCGAAGGAGCATTTGCAAGTCCACCCAGCAAAGGCCAGAGTAAGTTCCACTACACCTGTACAAACCTTAACTTTGACTCACAAAACATTTTCAACATAACTAACACATTTGTTCTAATTGCAAGACCCCACTATGAAATTCAAGCAATGTTCCGTGACGGTTCAGGCGAAGTGGAAGTCATAATGGATCATGAGGCAGCTCTGTCAATCATTTGTATGTCAACTGGAAGATATCGCAAGCTGGAGAAGGAAACAATCAAAACAATGATTGCCAAAAATTGTGCCAAGGTGTTTGCAGGAGAATTATACATTGGGTGGCCAAATATGAACTCCGCGGATCCTTCAGCTCGCATACAAATAAGAGTGGCAACACTGTGGAACACCTCGGCCTTTGACAAGTGATGATCAGTTTCCTTGGAAATCATTGTAAAAAATAACTATCAGGAACAACTTCCCCATCTACCTGCACTTACTATCTCGGAGACAATTTCAAACAGTTTAGGACTTAATGTACTTCTATGTATTTACTACTACGCTTCTCAGCAACTTTTGTGCAAGTCTCCTAGGATATTATATGGCTCTAAAAAGTCAAGCAATGTGTATTCCATTAATGGATGGTATATCACAAATTTTGTAGCTTTTGTGGGATCGATATGAATTCCCAATGTACATGCTATTTCAACCTGAACAACTATCGATGATCTTAGCATAGAACCTCAACAGGATCGAGCTTATACATCAAAATACAATAACTTAATTGTTCCACCCATCCCGGCGCAGAGCGCGGACAAAGAAAAAACTAGTTAATTAAGATAGCAGGATCCAAAAAGCAACATAAACCAAAAAAAAAAAAAAAAGTGAATGCAAAAGCGGAAAATGTGCGTCTTTCAAAATTTTCAATGTCTCCCTCCTCAACTTATAATTCCTTATTCTTTCATCACCTCCCTCTCTTTCCACCATTCTCGTCCTGCACCATCTCTCACTTTCCCTTTCTACCTTTCATTAATGAAAAATATCTCCAATAAATTTATCTTTTCATTTCTTGCCTGAGAATTTTGCTCTAGCCTGCATAATCCAAAAAAAAAAAAAAATGCATTTCCCCAAGCTTGATGACTCGCCGATGTTTCGGCAACAGGTTCGTTCGTTAAACACCCGTCTTCCCTCCCTACTTTTTTCTCTCTTTAAGATGCAATTATTAATTGCTCAAAGATTCTGTCACTTTGAAAAATTGGAAATAAAAATGGTGAATTGTTTGCTTTAGATATTGTATATGCATGGATGGAACTTTTTGCTTGTTAAATGAAATATTTTATCTATATCAAAAGTATAGCAAGTAGTTCCTCTGGTTTTCCTTTTTTCCTTAAATAATAGTTAGTTTTGAATGTATGTTACATTGTTTTGGATGTTGATTTTGAGGTGGCAATGTCTGAGTTACATATATTTACTATTGTTTGTATTTTGTTGGTGAATATAGATGCAATGTATGGAAGAAAATGCTGAAGTGTTGAGAGGAAGATGTTTAAAGTTCTATAAGGGATGTCGAAAGTATACGTAAGTTTTTGTCTATTTTCTTCTTTAGTGTTCTTAAATCCCTAGTTGGCTAGTTCTGTCTTTTTCACTAATAAAATTAAATTAGAGGCATTTTGTATATGTAAATGGCCATTCAACAAAGCTCTTTCTGGTCATAATCTTATAAGCACCTTAATAAATATGAGATGAGAAGAAACATTCTTCCCTAATCATCTAGTATTATAGTGTTAGGAGCTATTTTAAGTCTGATGGTCTTAAGAATTTTGGTTACTAGAATGTTAAATATGATTTACTTGGTTGAATGAATACGTGTCTTTGTTCAAAAAAAAAAAACCAATCAATGTTATTTCTGATTAATGGTATTGCTATTTTGTATCCTATTCGTAAACTAAAAGTTAATTCCCAAATTTTCTCCAACTTTAGTTTCCAAATGATGTAACATTTTAAATCATCCCCTTGAAATTGCAGAGAAGTCTTGGGTGATGAGTATGATGGAGATGTTGCTTTTGCCAGTACTCTTGAAGCATTTGGAGGTGGACATAATGATCCTATTTGTGTTGCTTTTGGAGGTATGCATGTATTAATTATCCTCTTAATGACAAATTTTCATGGAAAGGTAAAAAAAACTATGACTCGAATTAAATTTCATGTATATTTCTAATGCCTTCTCAATTATTTTCTTATGTTGTTGGCAAGATGATATATTAATCTGAGGTTCAAAATTTATGAAGTTGATCTCTTATTATGCATGTGTGATTATTGTATAATATGTCCAATGAATTTTTGCAATGAATTTTGTTTGTCATTGGTACTAGGAAAATTCACACCAAATAATAGAAAAACATCATATACTTATTCCTATTATAATGTATATGTTATGATATCTAACATCAAGCTTGTTATTTTACTGTTTTACATTTTTCTAGGCCCTGTTATGAACAAATTCACAATTGCCCTAAGAGAGATCGGGAGTTACAGAGAAGTCCTTCGGTCACAGGTATTAGTAGAATGCAAGAACCACTTTTGTGTCATCTAAATAAGTTCCTTTTAAGCTCCAAATTAATTACAAACTCATGGGATTAATTTGGCCAAAAATATTATGCATAGTATAGAGCGTTATAACCCTAGTGATTTACGTAGTGACACATTCTTATTTTATGATTTTGCTGCAGGTAGAACACATGTTGAACGATAGATTGTCACAATTTGTGAATGTTGACCTACAAGATATCAAGGTACTTTGTGCTCATGGAGAGAATACTTATAATTTTATGCCCAATTTTTTATGCCATTACTATTCCATTTTTATGCCCAAATTTCTCTAAACTTTATATATTTTGCAATAAGAATTTAGATTTGGTGAGGAAAATAAATCCTTGGTAGTTTATTGAACTTGATGACCATGTCTATCATTGTTGCAGGAAGCTAGAAAACGTTTTGACAAGGCTTCCTTAATATATGAACAGGTTGAATATTTCAACATACATGATTTGGCTAATAATCTTATTCATTTAACTTATATGTAGTCGTTTCATCTATCTTTTTATCGTTCATTGTTCAGGTTCTATTATTACTATTGTGTATCTATCATGTCATTTCAATTATCTATGTTCTTGAGTATTATTCATTAGTTTATGTCTTACCCATTGTAAAGTAATAATGGTGATTTCAATACTCTTCTAGTTCCATACTTGGATAACTTAAAAGTTGTTGAATAGTAAACTTATGAAGACCCAATTTCTTGACTATAAAATTGTTGTATTATGCTCATTCCTCAAGGGTTCTTGAATGATTTAAAATGGAAAGATATTTGGGATCCAAAACTATAACATATTGTGATGCTAAAATTTTCCGAAAAGATAATTTCTCAAGCTTTAATGTGGAATAGTGCCTATGGTTCAACTATTCATCTTTAGGTTTGAACTATAATGATATTTGGTCTTGAAACATTAACACATTGATAATACTTTCGAGAATTTGATTGTTTTATACAATTCATGTATCTTTGTGATTCTCAATTGACCATACCGATGTAGGCACGAGATAAGTTCTTGTCATTGAGAAAGAGTACTAGGATGGATGTCGCCACAACAATAGAGGAGGTATGTGTCCAGTGTCAAAACATTTTTTCTTGATAGTACCATTTAATTTAGTACAATGATTAACTCAACCTTTTAAAGGAAAAATTAGTTTAGACCTAAATTGTATAGAGACATTCCAGGAACTACATAATGCAAGAACATCTTTTGAGCAAGCACGCTTCAATTTGGTAAGATTTTCTATCAGCATGCAAGAACACAAGTTAATAATATTTTACTAATTTGAAACGATGAAAATTGGAAAGTACCTTTTACTCTATCCAGGTTAGTGCTCTTTCTATTGTTGAAGCTAAAAAAAGATATGAGTTTTTGGAGTGTGTAAGTGGGATGATGGATGCTCATCTACGATTTTTTAAGCAGGTATTCTTCCTCGCAAAAATACATATATCCCTCAACTCTTTTTTATTTCTTTGTTCAAATTTTGAAGTTATATTTCTTGTAGGGATATGAGTTACTTCATCAAATGGAGCCCTTTATTAACCAGGTCAACTGCTTATACTCTTTTATATATTTTGTTTCTTAACAATATATAAAACAATGGTATCAATGTTATAGAAAAGCATAAATAGTAACATGAATGTCTCAATCTAAGAGATTGTATTACTGTAGTAAGAACTAGCAGGTAGACCATCAGAACCATGTCCTCTGAGCATTGAACTCATCAGGAATTAGAACTTTCAATTGAAGCGTGGATCGAACTTTAAAGTGGAATATGGGAGCATTTTGTGAAAAACAGACACATTTGATTTTCGTGTCATACTACCATAGCACATTATTAATAAAAAAATAGTATTACAATTTTTATTATTATTTTGTTATTGGATAATCTATATAATAATATTTTATCAAACTATATAACTACTTTTGTTTCTTGGACCTTTCTGCTCCTAAAACAACCTTTTACTTTCGAACATTTATTTCCCTAAAAAAAATGATGCCTCCCTACGTTCTTTCCTCTCTTAAGAAATGTCTAAATTACATAATTGGTCACTCAAATTAGATAAATCTTTCACTTTAGTCACCCGAATTACTTTTCTTTTTTATTATATATTTTTTATAAAAAATTACGTAGGTATATCTTAGTTATCTTATGGTGTAGGAATTATCATATATTATCATGGAACATGACTAACTATGTATGTATATTTTAATAATTTTATGGTGTAGGAACATGTAACATAAATAGGTGATCATGATAATATGTTTTACTCAGCATGTTAGCATTTTGACTTCATAATATTATCAATAACTAATGCAGTACACACAAAAGTTTGATATTTTTTAGTATATAATTATATGAGTGGATTAGTACACATATTTATAGTAGTACAAATAAAATATTACATTGTTGGTTTGAAATAATACCAAAGAAAGTTGTCCTTTGATTTCTCATATTTTTCAACCTGAAATATGCTATAAAAATTAACTAAGTGTTTGAATTTGTATAGTTATGGAATTTTGGTTTTTCATTATTTTTTTCCATTTACGGTTTTGTTCAAACATTTTTATCTATTATTGAACATATCATAAATAAAACTTAAAAATAAGTTATTTTATTTATTAATAATTTTTTTTATATATAAAAAATATAATAGAAATCTTCGTTGCTTTAGTTTAATTCATATTTAGGGGAAATGTTTTTATAATTAAGTCGAATGTCAACGGGTAAAGCAAGAGATCACATTAGAAGGTCAGGTATGAAACTGTTTCATGAAATGAGTAGTAATCTTGTTGTGGTTGATAGCATCAAATAGAATTTTATCACATTGGTTACACTCTAAAATATATTAATTTGGGTCTCGCAGATTGTAGATTTGAATCTCAGTGATGATTATATATCTCTTTATTGTTTTTAGCTTAGACGAACATAAAAATTTATAGAAAAACTAAAACGATAAAGATGACATGGAAAATTATAAAGTTTCTTGAATATTTCGTGGCAAGAGATTGCTCTAAAACAACTATAATATAAGTTAAAGATAGATAGATGCTTCCTATATGATGGCCAAATATCCAAAACATGCCTTTTTTCCCCCAAAAACGTTCATTTAATTAACCCTTGACATTCTTTATTATGTTTGAATACACTCCTCCCCTAGAAATCTAAATATGTACTTTAGTCATCAACTTGTGGGAGTTGTCTCAATTGATGTAAAGTTATTGGTTGATATGGTATATAGGTCCTAGCTTATGCACAACAATCAAGAGAATGTTCGAACTATGAGCAAGCTTCTCTAAATGAAAGGATGCACGAATATATGAAACAAATTGACAGAGAAAATAGGCAATCCCTACATGGGAACAACGGTTCTCCTCATGCTGATGGAAGACCATTTGTTAGAAGTTCCCAAAAAGTGATAGAGGCAGTCATGGAAACTGCAATGCAAGGAAAGGTAACTCTTGTGCATAATTTGATCGATCTTCCACACGTTGGTTCTAAGATCATTCTTCTTAATTAAAGTTACGGGGTTTACCCTAATTATGTTTTCGGTTTAAATCGAGTCTTTCTTTGCACATATTTTTTTTTTGGAACAATCATATCATAGGTTCAAACCATCCGACAAGGATATTTGTCTAAGCGATCTTCAAATTTAAGAGCTGATTGGAAAAGAAGGTTTTTTGTGCTTGATAGTCGAGGGATGCTTTACTACTACCGAAAACCTTTCATATGGGGACATGTATGTGAAGACTTCTATGTTTGTTTCTAAATCTTTTCCATAATTTACAACACTCATGTACTATTTGCTTAATCATTCTACATATTTTTAGGCAGGTGGGGCCCAATCAGCTCTGCAGAGGAATACTGCCTCTGAGAATGGTCCTGGATTGTTGAGTAGATGGCTCTCTTCTCATTACCATGGTAGCGTTCACGATGAAAAGACCGCTGCACGCCACACAGTAAACCTACTAACATCGACAATTAAGGTCGATGCAGATCAGACCGATCTGAGATTCTGCTTCAGAATTATCTCACCTGTGAAAGTCTATACTTTACAGGTGCATGCATTTAAAAAAATTAGCAAGTATACCCTATAACTTGATAATAATCTGTCAAATATTTTTTTTATCACGTTTGAAAACCCATCATTTAACTAAACTATGTATATGATCCATTAACATTTTTTTTATTATGGGGTGCAGGCTGAAAATGCTATCGATCAAATGGATTGGATCGAGAAGATAACTGGAGTCATCACTTCATTATTGAGTTTCCAGACACCTGAAAACGTAAATCTAGGGACGTAAATCTTATTCAAGTCCGATCCTATTGATTATTACTTCTTATTACTAATATTATATCCATTGGCAAAAAAAAAAAAAAAAAAAAAACTTCACAGTGTATTTCTGCAGCCTCCATGGGATTCAGCGATGGTCAATCTTGTAGTGATGGTGGCGGCTCATTAGCAGATTCTCATGAGATCGATAATACAAATTTTGAGGAGGTCGCATCTTGTAATCTGATCGCCGGCAGACATTTGAATCCATTGAGAAATTTGCGGCCAATCTGCAGTATGAAAGCTGAAAAGCCAATAATTCTGCTAAGAAGAGTAGCCGGGAATGACAATTGTGCAGATTGTGGTGCACCTGAACCAGACTGGGCTTCCCTAAACCTTGGAATCCTTGTATGTATTGAATGTTCTGGAGTTCACCGCAATCTTGGTGTGCATATATCAAAGGTAAAACTTACAAACATCTTTGTGCATGCTTTGAAAAATTTAACAACTTAATTCTGGTGATAGGTAGATAATTAACAACTTAATTATTAATCATCTTATTAAAAAAAATAACTATGTTAATTTAGTTTTTGAAAGGGTTCCTTTTCTTTCTTAGGGGTTACTGGGTCAATCTCAATAATCCTTATTCAATTAAGAAAACTCCCTCAAACCCACTAGAAATCATGATCACGTCACCATTAACAATATTTATATGGTTAACAAGATTATCCATATCACACAAGGATTCTTAGTCTAACTCCAATTAGTTAACCTTCCTTGCATCACCTCTAAAGCCGTCTCATTCATGTCCATGATGTGCGACCAAGGCGGAGCCAGGATTTGGTGCTCTCGGGGGGCCGGAGTTTCATATTTTGGTACTGCAAAAAGACGTTAAAATTATTTAAATAATAAACGAAAAAATATTTGGAATATTATGATAACTGTACCTTTTAAAGAGGATTAAAGTCACTCAAAATAAAATCTAAACTAAGTTTTTTTACCATGCCAGGTTTAATGTAGATTAGAAAAGAAAAAAAATGTGTTTTAATGTTGTATATCCATCCTATTTTCATAATAAAAAAAAAAGAATATTGCGTATTTGGAGAACAATTTATATTATATACAAAAGTTTTTGTAAGAAATTGAAGTTGAAAGGTTGATGGATCTAGTTTTAAATTAAAGGATTTAATAAAAACAAAATATACAAGTTATTAGCTAATCTAATTTGAAACTAAAAGAGTTATATTATGGAATGAATACTTGTTAAGTCATTTTTTAGCTAAAAGTCTAAAAGTTGGGAAAGTAAAACCAAAACAAACAGTCTCAGGTTTCGCACCAGTAACCTATGAGTTATTTAAGCATTTACCATCCGCTAGACCACCCCGGATTTCTTGTTACTAAAATGCACACTACAACTATACTCACTTATCCATAGTTAATACGAAAAAATCAGGCTGCTCGTCGGGTAACTTTCAAAATTCTGGGGTAGCTCCGCCCCTGACCAATTAGGCCTTTGTTTCATTTTGAATAAAAAAAAATTGAATGTAGGTAAGATCATTAACACTTGATGTCAAAGCATGGGAGCCATCTGTGTTAATGCTGTTCCAATCGCTTGGCAATAACTGTGCAAACTCAATCTGGGAGGAGTTAATGAATTCAGATCAAACTTCTTCCGCTACCACCATTCAGGCTACCGAAGAACTAGCAAAATGGTAAATTGATCGATGTATCTAGTTACAAAACTCAAAACTACAATTCTCCTCCTTCGATCATCTCATTAATCTATCTCCATGTTTCTCTGTGACTTTCTAGCCCCTTAAAAGCTGACAAGACACAACCCTTCAACATAAAAAAGCCTAGCCAGAACGATCCCATTTCACTCAAGGAACAGTTCATCCATGCAAAGGTGAGTTCAGTTGCTCAAACAGAAGGGTGAAGTACTGGTTTTATTTCCTAGAACTGAAATGATTCAATGTGTGTGTTTGTTTCAGTACAAAGACAAGATTTTTGTTGGCAAGATTCAGGACATTGTGGCGGTTTCACAACAGCTGTGGAGAAGCGTCTCAGCGAACGACAAAAAAGGAGTTTATCGGCAGATTGTATGCTCTGGAATTGATTTAAATACCATCCACAGGCAGTCCTTGATTGGTAATAAGTAGCCAACACTTGTTTAAGACTTTGAAGCTTGGAGGAATAAGCAAAGAAATCTATATAATTTAACTTTAGGCCCCCCAACAAAAATTGTGCAGGTGATCAAGATCAGCTCCCGATGGAATTATCTGATAACTGCTCTCTCCTTCACCTGGCCTGCCTAAATACTGATATTGGAATGGTGGAATTGCTTCTACAATATGGAGCAAATGTGAATGCGTTCGATTCAAAGAACCAGACTCCGTTGCATCATTGCATTATGGGCAAAAGAAGTGCCATTGCGAGATTGCTTCTTATGAGGTATAGTTATCTCTTTTCCTCGATCATTTTTGTTAAGTCTCATACGCAACCTGTAGACACCGTAAAGAAGTGGTTAAGTACCATACGCGGGCATGTATAAGATCCCGCGCATAACTTTTTTTCCCAACAACTCGAGTTATTGGGACCAACTGATTTGTGACTTGGAATCGGAGCTGGTTTGTTCGTGAGGTCACGTGTTCAAGTCCTCATGACCCCCGAAGCGTGCAAACTTCAAGCCCATGAGTCGGCTTTTCATTTGAGGGGGGCGTGTAAGGAAATGGTTAAGTACCATACACGGGCATGTATAAGATCCGGCATAACCTTCTCCCAACAACTCGAGTTATTGGGACCAACTGGTTTATGACAGACACTCCACTAACATAGTTCAATTAATGGTAACACAGGGGTGCAGATCCACGAGCTGTGAGCAGAGATGGTAATACAGCTCTTAAGCTTCTGTCCCAGTCCTCCCTCGATGATCATGAGCTAGAAGGTCTCTTGGCAGCAAAATGAAAATGGCATAGCAAAAAACGTGCAGCCGGATGATCTTAATTTCTAACCCTTAAATCAATTGAATGTTCATGCATTGCACATCTACCGTGCGGTCTATGAGTTTTGATGGTATATTTTGGTAGGGCTTTGTGTCTAAATTATTTGCTTTGCTCGCAATTGGAGTGGTTGTGACTTGTGATTATTGCGATATCATTACTTGATCCCCTAGCTCTGCCTTTTTGTTTTATGCTTACTTTTTTCTTGTGTGAATTGGAGAGAGATCATAGGCAAAATATCAATTTTACTTCCTCGTGTAAAGGTATCATGCAGGTGTTTATAACATGTTTTGTGAAACCATATTGAAAGTCACACCAGATTCATTTGTGATAGGGTATTTTGTGGTACGATCGTGGTTCGACCATTTTATACTGGTAAAATACCATTTTTATAATAAAAAAATAGTTTTATGTTAGAAAACCGTACCAATAAAATTAAGGTACCATTCCGGAGTAATACCGAATAAAATCGAAAGATTTGAAAATATTAGTTTAATATTATGCGAAGCCAAGCAAAGACTGTGGAATTTCCCTTGAGTACTTTCTGCGCTACACATTTAAAGTTGTTTACTCTTTGGCTTGTCAGTTGTTAAAGTCCAATCTATTTGTGAAACAGAACAATGTTAACAGATCAAAGACAACAACCGAAACGGAATCAGACACGAATTTATGTGATATCCCTGAAATCCTAGGACTAATCCACAGAAGAATTTGAACACTCTTCGACTACTAATTTTACTGATTGTTTTCGATGATCCTCCCAGATACAGCTGCTGCCTTCTAATACCCTACACATCAAACCCTAACCTCACGTCTCTCAGCATGATACTGACGTGGGCTGTGCATGGGCCTTACAAGCCTTGAATTGATTGGCCCATCAAAGATAATTAACACTACACTACGTCATATTTACATACACATACAAAGAGCATATTCAATAGCCTCTCCAAATTGATGTTAGTGTATACATAAATTTTTCAGACAGTAACCGGTGTCGACTAGTCGAAAATGTCTTCGTAAGCAAGTCAACAACTTGATCTTCAGTTTGAATGTAGTGTAGTGCAATGGTACCTTCCCGGACTTCATCTCTGACATAGTGCACATGAACTTCATTGTGTTTTGTTCGATCGTAAAGAACCGAATTCTCTGCTATCCGAATTGCACTAGTATTATCAACAAAAAGATCCATCGGACCAATGATCTCCACTCCCATGTCACACAACAAACGTCTCAATCAAGTCAATTCAGAAGTTACATCTGACATAGCTCGATATTCCGCTTCTGTAGAAGATTTAGAAAATTTGTCATGTTTCTTGCACCTCCAAGAATCATGTTCAAAAATTCAATGGCTACTACACAGAGATCAGATTTCAATCGAAGCAAGTAAATTCAGGTATAGCGAGTAACAGATCTATAAAGAGGGCAAAGTATCGGAACCCATGATGAGAAACAGCAGGGGCATGTCCCTAAAGATCAGTGTGAATCAGATGGAAAGGTTCAAGAATTACAGTAGTACTAGAAGGATAGGAAATACTGGCCATTTTTGCTTCTACACAGTTAGTACATGCATGAAATTCAGGAATACTAACATTGTTTGGACCAAGCAAGTGTTTTTAAACATCACAGAAAGACAAAGTGAGTGGGGATGCCCCAGGCGGGCATGCCAAAGATCCCACAATTTATTCGACGAACTAGAAACTGCTAAACAAGAAGTGGACGACACAAGACTACTAACAGACCTATTCAACGAATGACCAACAACAGGAGAGACTGAATGCCCATGTAATTCCTCAAGATGAAACAATCGGCCTTGCTTACTCCCCCTTCCGATCGGCCTCCCCGTTTTTGAATCCTGTACAAGACATCCAGACGGAGCAATCGACACAGTATAACCTTGCTCAGTAAGGTGTCCAATAGAAACTAAATTGGGGACAAGAGCTTGAACATGTAAAGTATCTTGCAAAGTCACTCCTTTGGTAACCACATCTCCCACGCCAACAACTTTTAATTTTGTTCCATTAGCAACCATTAATTCCATGTCTTTCACTGGGGACATATTCTTTAAAGCTTTAGAGTTACAAGTCATGATTATAGCAGGCAGAGTCCAAAAGCCAAAGTGATTGAATCTTACCTATCCCATTGAGGGTTGCAAAGGTGGCATTAATAGCTGAATTCACCATCTGTTCCACGTCAGCCATTGTAACTCCACCAGAAGCATTCCCAACATCCCCAGTATGACCTGCTCTATTTGATTTTGATAATTCATAGGATTGTTAAATTATATATCTCACCCTATTTTTGAAGTTTAACACATAAATTATGTGAGCAAATATGTCTTATTTAATTTTAAAAAGAAATTATGTATTATATATTGCTTCAATACTATGAAATAACATAATTTTGAGTAATTAATATTGAACACTTAACTATTTTTTTCATCTTGACATTAATCGCATGTATCATGCATGACATACACAATGAATAAACCGGGATTTTTCCAATAATAGCACCTTTTAAAAAATAAATCACAAAACTAGCACCCAGCCGAAAAAATTTACACTAATAGCACCCTTTTTTTTTGGACCGCACCTCCAAGGTGCGTTTTATGCGTAAACTTCACCCTCCAGGTGCGTTTTATGTATAAACCGCACCTTGGAGGTGTGTTTTGCGCCACGTCAGACTGAGAACCGCACCTTTAAGGTGCGGCCTGTGTTTCCACGGGAGCGGCCTTGGAGACCGCAGGATCCAGCTGCGATCCAGCGGCGGACCGCTTGCCACCTCAGCGATCCGGGCCATGGATCGTAAACCGCGCCGGGAAGTTGCGGTTTTGACTGGGGAAAAATTACCAGACCGCCTCTGGAGGGTGCGGTCTGATGGGTATAAATACCCCCCCCCCCTTCCCCTCTCATTTCTTCACACCACAACCCATTCTTCCTACTCTCTCTAGAATTTATCTATCTAAACCCTCCCCTCCCAAAAGTCTAGGAAATAGTAGTCTGTTGGTTGCGGCTAAGTCCGATCTGCCATAAAAAAACATTTCTTAGGTTTTTTCCTCAAAACCCGCCGAGCCGAATCTATGTCCGAATTTTAGTTTTTTCCTCAAAACCCGCCGAGCCTAGCCGAATCTCTGTCCGAATTTCCCGAAAAAATGAGCGATTGGTGGCAAGGAGAGGGAGTTTATGTTGATGAATTTCTAGCGATTGTCGACAATTTATTACAATTCGAACAACAATCAGGTACTCTCGTTAGACTCTTAGGAGAGGTTTACATCTCCTTAGAAACACAGCCTTTTTGACATAAAAAGGGGGGATCCGAGGATATCTTAATACCCGATTTTCCCAGGAAATGGGAGGATCATGATAATCGCTTAAAACCCCATTTCCTTAGATGTGCATCTCTTTATAAAGAGTCTAACAAGTGTACCATTTATTTGATATAAGATATTGTTCTTCTCCAAAATTAAACAACCAATAGAGAGCTTACCAATCCACCACAAATTATCAGCAAGCTTCTTCCGCTTGAAATGATGGTTCCAGTTGCTCTTGAAGTGTCGTATACACCACCTTTGGGACCACTTCCAGACTGGATCCAAACCTAGATGGCAGCTCTAATCCCGGCATGCCAATCAGATATTATTGTCAGGTTCGTCCTCCTAGTGACGTGGAGCTGAATTTGCCGGAAAAACCATCCATAACTATCAGTATTCTCTCCTTCAACAATGGCGAAGGCTAACGGAAAGACTTGTTTGTTTGCATACCACTAGCAATTAGTAGAGTGCCCTTGTACTTGCCGGTAAGGAATGTACCATCCACTTGGATCACAGGGACACATAAGCCAAAACGGTCAATAAATGGCTTGAATGCCCAAAAAAGTCGTCTGAAATGGTGTTTGTTACCTGGCTCTAGCGGTTGTACCTCTTCATCTTGGTATCGAGGGGAGAAAACAGTGCCAGGGTTAGACACCTCCAGTGCCAAAATCAACCTGGGAAGGAATGCATATGATTCTTCCCAATCACCATATACCGCGGCCAGAGCTTTCTGCTTTCCATGCCACGCCTTCGTATAGTTAATCATATAACCATAACGACTTGCAATGTCAGCGATTGTGTGTGTTCACCGCACGGGATATGACCCAATGGCCGTGTCTCTTGTTGTTGATGGCCCGGATCCTAACATTGCATCCCTCGTTATGATTACGGCATCCGACTATGAGCCTTTTCGTGTTGGAATGAGTTGTGTGCCATTCAAAATGCCGAGTCATTGCTTCAGTATCAATGGCGTGCCGCACCTCCTTCTTCGAGCCAAATTGTTGGCCCTTCATAAACCCAGTGAGTGGACCCCATATTGAAACCTCCGGCGGTTCCATGTCGTTGTCGACCATCCAATTGCCGTCTGGATTGTGATTGTAGTAGGGGACTGGTACACGGTCATGAACCACCTCATCATCATTATCTGAGTCTGACTCTGACTCTGGTCCTGAATCATCAGCACCTTCAAGAGGGTAGGTGACTCACTTCTACTGTCACTCTAGGAATTGGCCAAGTGAAACCACTTCCTAAAGCGTAGTATAGCGAGTTTGGGTTTTAATGTCAACCCGGGTCCTAGATTTGATAACTACTCAGTGAATTCTTGTTATCTAGCAATGAAACTTTAGTGCAGGTCTAAACTAACAAACAAACAAAGCAAGTAAACGGTTGTTTTCAGGTTAAGAGAGGTCACCCGGATATGGTTCCCCCTAGACTGCAGTTAAGTCGGATTGCAATTACCAAGTTCAATTTCTATGATAGTTATACTGCGGAAGGTTCTTAAGCAGTCTGAAGTCTCGACTAAAGGTCTCCAGACCCTCTCAATCTGAGTCTCTAGCAGGCGACTAACCTCCACCGGAGTAAACAAATTGAGGCCCTAACGAACAAAACCTCCACTACCGAAGTGAATTCGGTACAGAATAGTGAGTTGGCTCCTCGACTAAAGTCACCAACTCCCTACCTTCAATCAAGGATGCTCTATCAACCTAGGCAGATATTCTCATTCTAGGTTAAAGCAGAAACAACAGGAATTTGATCAGGATTCATGCCATTCAATCATTCAAACCTCAATTGAATATAATCAAATCATAGAATCAGCACTTGGGTTCATACAATCAAACCTAACATACAAATCTAGGGTTCTCCATACCCAGATGAATGGGAGAACTACTCCATGGAGAAAGAAGCAAAAGCAGAATCAGACGCGGAATTCATACTGTGAAGGATGGATTCCTGCTCCTGGACGTTGATCGGCACTTCTCCAAGCTCAAGCCAAGCTCCAATGGTGATGAAGATCAAGCTAGGGCACTTGGGAACTCTTGTTCGTCGCTTTCTCTCTCTAGGAATCGCTCTGTCTCTCTCAAACTCGAATCCCCTTCTCTTTTGGCTGAAATCTGCCTAAAAAACCCGATTCTGGGCAAAACACGGTCGAGGGCACGACCGTGCTTTGCTTTTGCC